CATATGACCTTTCATTCCATCAAATGTGTTAACAATAAACAATATGAACATTTTTACAGATTTATTCTTAATGATGGGAAATTTCTGAATGTTTATTACAAATAAAGTGTGCTCAAATCTACAAAATATGGAGGTCTGAGTTTGCTTCCCTTGCTTTCAATTTCTCTGAAAGTAATATAATGGAGCTTTTCATTTAGGCATTGGGCACATTAAACTAGTTAATCAGCACTGAAATAGCGGTCAATACAACTGGCTGGTACTAACGTCTACCCAAGCAGCTCAGTTTCACAGTGCTTAAGCCCTCTGAGTGTGGCGTCTAATTAGCACTCTCTTTCTGGGGAATCAAATTATTAATTTATGAAATGTATAGTCTTCATGGTATTCTGGTTTACATACCTTATATTTGCAGCAAAAATATTCCAAACAAGGTTTTCAAATGACCCTTTAACAGACTGGTGGGATATTGACGCTAATCAACTTGCAGTCACCAGCCAGTTAGCTCAGAGTTTAACGCGTTCACTTTCTCTTTCTCTGCAGCTGTTTACATTGATTTATCATCATGAATATACTCTTCTAGACCCTTTCTATTATAAATTGGGCATATTAGTCAGGTTTATTCCAGATACAGTGCTCAAAATTGCCATGATTACAACTGGCTGGTCACGCCCAGCTCCACCACCGCACGCGCTTGTTATGCGTAAGCGCGATCACTATCTTAGTCTGGCGCGTGTCCTTGCGCTCTCTTCCAGATGAATTACATCTTTAATTCATGAAATGTGTATTCTTTTGTGTACACTTGTTTAGACATTTATAGCAGTGTTTCCTCAAAGAAGCGCTTCAAACAGCCCTTAAATTGACCGGTGGGTTTGCAACACTCGCTGCGTCACCAGCCAGTTAGCTCAGAGTTTTACGCGTTCACTTTCTCTTTCTCTGCAGCTGTTTACATTGATTTACCATCATGAATATATTCTTCTGGACCCTTTCTATTACAAATTGGGCATATTAGTCAGGTTTATTCCAGATAAAGTGCTCAAAAGTGCCTTGATTACAACTGGCTGGTCACGCCCTCCTCATGGGAGCTTCACCAGCGCACGCGCTGGTTATGCGTACCCCTGTAAGCGCGATCACTATCTTAGTCTGGCGCGTGTCCTTGCGCTCTCTTCCAGATGAATTACATCTTTAATTCATGAAATGTGTATTCTTTTGTGTACACTTGTTTAGACATTTATAGCAGTGTTTCCTCAAAGAAACGCTTCAAACAGCCCTTAAACTGACCGGTGGGTTTGCAGCACTCTGCGTCACCAGCCAGTTAGCTCAGAGTTTTACGCGTTCACTTTCTCTTTCTCTGCAGCTGTTTACATTGATTTACCATCATGAATATAATCTTCTGGACCCTTTCTATTATAAATTGGGCATATTAGTCAGGTTCATTGCAGATAAAGTGCTCAAAATTGCCATTATTACAACTGGCTGGTCACGCCCTCCTCATGGGAGCTCCAACAGCGCACGCGCTGGTTATGCTTCCCCCTGTAAGCGCGATCACTTAGTCGGGCGCGTTTCCTCGCGCTCTCATCCAGATGAATTACATTTTTAATTCATGAAATGTGTATTCTTTTGTGTACACTTGTTTAGACATTTGCAGCTGTGTTTCCTCAAAGAAACGCTTCAAACAACCCTTAAATTGACCGGTGGGTTTGCAGCACTCTGCGTCACCAGCCAGTTAGCTCCGAGTTTACCGCGATCGCTTTCTCTTTCTCTGCAGCTGTTTACATTGATTTACCATCATGAATATAATCTTCTGGACCCTTTCTATTATAAATTGGGCATATTAGTCAGGTTTATTCCAGATAAAGTGCTCAAAAGTGCCTTGATTACAACTGGCTGGTCACGCCCTCCTCATGGGAGCTTCACCAGCGCACGCGCTGGTTATGCTTCCCCCTGTAAGCGCGATCACTATCTTAGTCTGGCGCGTGTCCTCGCGCTCTCTTCCAGATATATTATATTTTTAATTCATGAAATGTGTATTCTTTCGTGTACACTTGTTTAGACATTTGCAGCTGTGTTTCCTCAAAGAAACGCTTCAAACAGCCCTTAAACTGACCGGTGGGTTTGCAGCACTCTGCGTCACCAGCCAGTTAGCTCAGAGTTTTACGCGTTCACTTTCTCTTTCTCTGCAGCTGTTTACATTGATTTACCATCATTAATATAATCTTCTGGACCCTTTCTATTATAAATTGAGCATATTAGTCAGGTTCATTGCAGATAAAGTGCTCAAAATTGCCATTATTACAACTGGCTGGTCACGCCCTCCTCATGGGAGCTCCAACAGCGCACGCGCTGGTTATGCTTCCCCCTGTAAGCGCGATCACTTAGTCGGGCGCGTTTCCTCGCGCTCTCATCCAGATGAATTACATTTTTAATTCATGAAATGTGTATTCTTTTGTGTACACTTGTTTAGACATTTGCAGCTGTGTTTCCTCAAAGAAACGCTTCAAACAACCCTTAAATTGACCGGTGGGTTTGCAGCACTCTGCGTCACCAGCCAGTTAGCTCCGAGTTTACCGCGATCGCTTTCTCTTTCTCTGCAGCTGTTTACATTGATTTACCATCATGAATATAATCTTCTGGACCCTTTCTATTATAAATTGGGCATATTAGTCAGGTTTATTCCAGATAAAGTGCTCAAAAGTGCCTTGATTACAACTGGCTGGTCACGCCCTCCTCATGGGAGCTTCACCAGCGCACGCGCTGGTTATGCTTCCCCCTGTAAGCGCGATCACTATCTTAGTCTGGCGCGTGTCCTCGCGCTCTCTTCCAGATATATTATATTTTTAATTCATGAAATGTGTATTCTTTCGTGTACACTTGTTTAGACATTTGCAGCTGTGTTTCCTCAAAGAAACGCTTCAAACAGCCCTTAAACTGACCGGTGGGTTTGCAGCACTCGCTGCGTCACCAGCCAGGTAGCCCGGAGTTTTACGCGTTCACTTTCTCTTTCTCTGCAGCTGTTTACATTGATTTATCATCATTAATATAATCTTCTGGACCCTTTCTATTATAAATTGAGCATATTAGTCAGGTTCATTACAGATAAAGTGCTCAAAATTGCCATGATTACAACTGGCTGGTCACGCCCTCCCAGCTCCGCCTGTGCACTCGCGCTTGCGCTCAGATTTTGACGCTAGTCTTAGCACTCTCAATACAAGCAATCAATTTCATGTACATTTTTTTTTATACCTTAAAGTCTATTAAGTTACATCAGTGATATTTTTAGCAAATTTATCACAGACAATATCAAACGACCCTTAAACAGACTGGTGGGTTATGGACGCTCAGCTTCAGTAGGTAGACAGCCAGCACGTGTAGGCGATTACTTTGCAGCTTTATGACAATGCATAGATAATTACCAACACATTGAATTACAATAAAAATAGCAGATTTACTCAATAAATGCATCGATAATATCCACTGATTTTTTTATAGTCAATCTAATGAACTCATAAACAATAAAAAATGCAACAAATATTTGTTTGGGCCCAAACTACAAAACAAAATTTATAACATATTTTAGTATCAGTTTTGCTTAAGTTGCACACTAGTTTGATAATGTATAAATATCCCTATATATAAATCATGCTAAAAAGCAAATAGGTTTGGCTACATGATACCAGGGGCTTCTGAGTCCATATGAAAATACATGAATAACACCGATCTTGAAAAGCATACACTTCTTTATAATCTAGTACAATAAATATTGTAGTTTACTGAAACAGCACGAAGAAAAGTTGCCGAGGTATTTGGTGTACATAAATATTGTGTATGCGGTGTCAGGCATCATTAAGCCGATTACTATTCTTTGGGGTCTGTTTGTTTATATAAACATTTTGAACAAGAAAATTATCAGCCGCAATAAAACTAATGTCTCCCTTTGCCCTTTATTAGAAGTCTAGGTAAGTCAGATCAAAAAGTAATGTTGATTGATTTAATTATATTAGATTTAGAGCTTGTTATGTCAGTTTAATTTCCAACATTCCAACAGTATTTTTAAGTTATTAAATATACTAGGTTTTGCACTTTTGCCAAAATGTTTAATGGCTGTCAGAGGGATGAGTTATCATTTATAGGCATTAGTGCTACTAGCATAGATTGGCAAAATAGGTATCCAGCTTGTGATATTTTTGAGCTGCTACATTGTCTATTCTCATTTAAAAAAAACAACAACAAATGTTCAGTAATGAAATGAACGATAATGTTTAATAAATGAAAGCCTAAATCAACAATAAAAAATCCTAATAATACTGTAGTACAAAGATTATCAGAAAAGAACAGTCAACAGGTTCATATATATATATATATATATATATATATATATATATATATATATATATATATATATATATATATATATATAAATCAAATTTGTGTAAATATATGTACAATATAAACAGATTTTATAGCATGTGCATGGGTGTGTCTGACAATTGGTTTTAATAGAAATTATTTCAGACAGGGTGTTGTTGCAATTGTCATTTCAGCTTGGAATCTGTGGAAGTCCTCAGTTATTTTCAATATCAGAATGGTGATATAAACAGAATAAAACAGTGTCATTATAAAACAAATATATTTGTGCATAAAAGATCAGTTTTTATTGCATCAAACATAAAATACCTCATTTAGTGCTTGATATGTCCTCCTTTATCAGTGATAGTACACTGTAAACTTTGTCAATGATCCCCTCTGTCTATAAAAAAAAAAACAATCCAGAGATTTAACTTAGTACTGTATGAGACATTCAGTATGTGACATTACATTATTTTCCCATATTAATTATTATTTTGTTAAGATATGTTAACAATTGTTATTATGTTAACCATTTTCTGAAGCTATAATTTTAATTCAATTTAATACTTAATTAAAATTTGAATAATAATTTAATTGTAATGTTTTTTTCTTATTATTCTTTCAAAATATTCCTACTTTACCTGTTCTTCATTAAAATAGGAAATCCGCAAGTTGCATTGTTTTTTTAATTTTGGGGCATATGCGGGATGGAGGTCTAAAAACATACGGTGGGATTTTAAAGCACCAGATGTGTGGTCTTGATCGAGCTTCTACAAAATAAAAAGTATTTTACAGTTAAATATTACTTTTCATTGAGTAAGCTCTGAAACTGTATCCTGATAAGAATTCTTATATAATTATGCTAATTTTCTGTTGCCTCATTATTTAAAGTATTTATAACAGTTACCACAATTTATTCGTCCCTCACAACGGAATCAACCAAAAGCCCCTGCTTCAAAGCCTCCCGAGTCCTGTAACAAAAAGTTGTCATATGCATCAAAAGTAGTAAAAACAAGCTTTTGTTTGTTTTATGTTTCTGTTTCTGCTTCTTACCGTTGACAAGAATATGATGGCTGATGACAACCACAACTGAAGGGTGTGTTTTCATCAATTTTTGCAGGGTCTATGCCAGCACAATCTTGTGTAACCATTTGTCACACCTGTCACATTGAACCCACTCTATGAGTTTAATTTGTGGGTAAAGAGTTCTAAAAAAAATTGTATTGTGAAGTCAAAGCTGCATTATTCACTTAGATCCAAACTCTAATGGAATTGTATAATTCTTACTTGTGTCCAAGGTTCTGATAAACACAGGCTTTTATATCTTGTGCCATGCAGTTATTGTCTAATTGAGTGTCCTCTCTTTCTTCAATTAGAATCGGGAAGTCCTGTCAATTATTACATAATATATTAATGTCGTATATTCTTTTTGTTAAATTTTATTGCAATCTTAACTGAAACTTTATCTATGTTTGTCTTACTTCAGTTGTCACATCTTTCAACATGTTTGTGGCATGGTAAATGCGCAGGTGTCCCAGACATTCAGATGACATTTTCATGTTTTTTACCTCCATTTCAGCTGCCTTTAAAAGGAAAAAATGAAGCTGTTCACAGATACAAATAATACATGTATATAGAAATCATTTTAAATATAAAGTCATCAGGAAAACTTACAGTGCAAACAAATACACCACAATTCACACCATCACGCTGCAACAATTGTTTTGGATAGCTAATAGTCCAGCCATCCAGAGATCCAAGTTCTTGTAAACCCTCCCTGTATACATTTTGCATAAAGTAAGGGAAAATTAAATGTATCTTTCACATACCATAATTATAACCAATAGAATGCTTTTAAATATCACAAAGCACAAAGTCAATATACAGATGCAAAAAAATTACCTCAAAATCTCCATATCACTTTTATCTATAGTGGTGTAGATGCCCGTTGAATCATAAATCCTCAACTGTTTTGCTTGTACATCAAAAACCTGGGAAAAAATGTATCATAAATTAGCAAGTTAATGCAATAAAGCAATAATTAATTGATTGCAACCATTACCCAAAGTATGAAGTGGTTTCCCATTTCAGGTGTTTTTCCACCAACAATTTTTGGAAACAGGATCTTTTCAGCGCCCTGAAAAGGAACATTGGATAATATGCTTTTTCACTTACATAAAATACATTTGAATTACAGAATAATTAATCAAATATTATACAATATTATCCACATTTTCTTTAATCCATAGACTATAACTTTCCATAATTTACACCATTACAAAAAATGGCATACATTAAAAATACTTACATGATAAAAGTGTTCATTAAAAGCCTGTTAATTTATAAAGGGATCAGTACTTTTGTCTCTCTTCGTATATGCATGTGTTTTGTAATATATATATATATATGTGTGTGTTTGTGTGTGTGTGTGTGTGTGTGTGTGTGTGTGTGTGTGTGTGTATTCATATATATTGTTAGGAAATAGGAATAAACTCTTTATTATTTTTGTCTTCTCTTTTTCCTCTTCATTAAACAATTATTTCGATTCTTTTAGTCGAATTTTTCACTTGTATCCAATAAATTGTTTTGATTTTTGACATTGAAAAAAACCTATATATATATATATATATATATAGAGAGAGAGAGAGAGAGAGAGAGAGAGAGAGAGAGAGAGAGAGAGAGAGAGAGAGAGAGAGAGAGAGAGAGATAGATAGATAGATAGATAGATAGATAGATAGATAGATAGATAGATAGATATACAGTTGAAGTCCCCCCTGTTTATTGTTTTCCCCAATTTCTGTTTAACGGAGAGAATTTTTTCTTCAACACATTTATGCACATAATAGTTTTAGTAACTCATTTCTAATAACTGATTTATTTTATCTTTGCCATGATGACAGTAAATAATATTTTATATTCTTCAAGACACTTTCATACAGCTTAAAGTGATATTTAAAGGCCTAACTGGGTTAATTAGGTTAACTACGCAGGTTAGGGTAATTAGGCAAGTTATAATGGTTAGTTTTGTAGACTACTGAAAATTTTTTTTAAAGGGGCTAATCATTTTGTCTTTAAAATAGTGTTTAAAAAATTAATAACTGCTTTTATCTAGCCAAAATAAATAAAATAAGACTTTCTCCAGAAGAAAAAATATTATCAGACATACTGTGAAAATTTCCTTGCTCTGTTAAACATCATTTGAGAAATATTTAAAAAAAGAAAAAAAATTAATAATTAATTAATAAATCTGACTTCAACTGTATATATATGATGCAAATTTTAGTATGATAATCCAACACCCAATTGATTCTAAACAAGCCCCGTTGTAAAGAAAATATCTGTAAAAACGTCTGTACCTTGTTTTTTTCATTTATGGGGAACCATGCCACTGTGAAAGTCTTCTCACCTTCCTCAACAATATCTGGTTCAGCCTTCAGCTCAGTCAAAGATTATGCTGATGTTCGTTGGTAGACCTCTGTAATTTGATATCATGTTAATAACACCAAACCACAAGTGTAAGTTTGAAACATTAGTAAATCTGTATTAACTACCTTTGTCTGCTTCCTTTTCCACACCTAATAACAGATGTCCATGTCGCCCTAGATACACATCTTTGTTGGACATTCTTTGAATGTCTTCCAAGAATTTGTTGTTGATCCTTTGGTTATGTAGATGGAAATATAGTCGTAAGGCGAACAGGTAAGGAACACCCTTTAACTGGCAGAGGAAGTACCTGCTGGATTTATGCTCCTCAGTCTCTCCTCTGGTCTTTTTTGGTTTTTCTCATGAAAACGGTCATAGAGGGAGTAGCGGTATATATATATATATATATATATATATATATATATATATATATATATATATATGTATATATATATATATATATATATATGTGTGTGTGTGTGTGTGTGTGTGTGTGTATTAATATCTAAAATAAATTTGACCAAACTCTAAGCACTAGTGCGCTGGTGGAGCTTCATTGGGAGGGCGTGACCAGCCAGTTGTAATAATGGCAATTTTGAGCACTTTATCTGTAATGAACCTGACTAATATGCCCAATTTATAATAGAAAAGGTCCTGAAGATTATATTCATGATGGTAAATCAATATTTAAGGCTGCAGAGAAAAAGAAAGTGAACGCGTAAAACTCTGAGCTAACTGGCTGGTGACGCAGCGAGTGCTGCAAACCCACCGGTCAGTTTAAGGGCTGTTTGAAGCGTTTCTTTGAGGAAACACTGCTATAAATGTCTAAACAAGTTTACACAAAAGAATACACATTTCATGAATTAAAGATGTAATTCATCTGGATGAGAGCGCAAGGACACGCGCCCGACTAAGATAGTGATCGCGCTTACAGGGGTACGCATAACCAGCGCGTGCGCTGTTGGAGCTCCCATGAGGAGGGCGTGACCAGCCAGTTGTAATCATGGTAATTTTGAGCACTATATCCCGAATAAATCTGACTAATATGCCCAATTTATAATAGAAAGGGTCTAGAAGAATATATTCATGATGGTAAATCAATGTAAACAGCTGCAGAGAAAGAGAAAGTGAACGCGTTAAACTCCGGGCTACCTGGCTGGTGAAGCAGCGAGTGTTGCAAACCCACCGGTCAATTTAAGGGCTGTTTGAAGCGTTTCTTTGAGGAAACACTGCTATAAATGTCTAAACAAGTGTACACAAAAGAATACACATTTCATGAATTAAAGATGTAATTCATCTGGAAGAGAGCGCAAGGACACGCGCCAGACTAAGATAGTGATCGCGCTTACGCATTACCAGCGCGTGCGGTGGTGGAGCTGGGCGTGACCAGCCAGTTGTAATCATGGCAATTTTGAGCACTGTATCTGGAATAAACCTGACTAATATGCCCAATTTATAATAGAAAGGGTCTAGAAGAGTATATTCATGATGGTAAATCAATATTTAAAGCTGCAGAGAAAAAGAAAGTGAACGCGTTAAACTCCGGGCTACCTGGCTGGTGACGCAGCGAGTGTTGCAAACCCACCGGTCAGTTTAAGGGGTGTTTGAAGCGCTTCTTTGAGGAAACACTGCTGTAAATGTCTAAACAAGTGTACACAAAAGAATACACATTTCATGAATTAAAGATGTAATTCATCTGGAAGAGAGCGTGAGGACACGCGCCAGACTAAGATAGTGATCGCGCTTACGCATAACAAGCGCGTGCATGGGGAGGGCGTGACCAGCCAGTTGTAATGAAGGCAATTTTGAGCACTGTATCTGGAATAAACCTGACTAATATGCCCAATTTATAATAGAAAGGGTCCAGAAGAGTATATTCATGATGGTAAATCAATGTAAACAGCTGCAGAGAAAGAGAAAGTGAACGCGTAAAACTCTGAGCTAACTGGCTGGTGACGCAGCGAGTGCTGCAAACCCACCGGTCAGTTTAAGGGCTGTTTGAAGCGCTTCTTTGAGGAAACACTGCTATAAATGTCTAAACAAGTAGACACAAAAGAATACACATTTCATGAATTAAAAATGTAATTCATCTGGAAGAGAGCGCGAGGACACGCGCCCGTCTAAGATAGTTCTCGCGCTTACGCATAACAAGCGCGTGCGCTGGTGGACCATGGGGAGGACGTGACCAGCCAGTTGTAATCATGGCAATTTTGAGCACTTTATCTGGAATAAACCTGACTAATATGCCCAATTTATAATAGAAAGGGTCCAGAAGATTATATTCATGATGGTAAATCAATGTAAACAGCTGCAGAGAAAAAGAAAGTGAACGCGTAAAACTCCGAGCTACCTGGCTGGTGACGCAGCGAGTGCTGCAAACCCACCGGTCAGTTTAAGGGGTGTTTGAAGCGTTTCTTTGAGGAAACACTGCTATAAATGTCTAAACAAGTGTACACAAAAGAATACACATTTCATGAATTAAAGATGTAATTCATCTGGAAGAGAGCGCGAGGACACGCGCCAGACTAAGATAGTGATCGCGCTTACGCATAACAAGCGCGTGCATGGGGAGGGCGTGACCAGCCAGTTGTAATGAAGGCAATTTTGAGCACTGTATCTGGAATAAACCTGACTAATATGCCCAATTTATAATAGAAAGGGTCTAGAAGATTATATTCATGATGATAAATCAATGTAAACAGCTGCAGAGAAAGAGAAAGTGAACGCGTAAAACTCTGAGCTAACTGGCTGGTGACTGCAAGTTGATTAGCGTCAATATCCCACCAGTCTGTTAAAGGGTCATTTGAAAACCTTGTTTGGAATATTTTTGCTGCAAATATTAGGTATGTAAACCAGAATACCATGAAGACTATACATTTCATGAATTAATAATTTGATTCCCCAGAAAGAGAGTGCTAATTAGACGCCACACTCAGAGGGCTTAAGCACTATTAAACTGAGCTGCTTGGGTAGACGTTACCTGCTACCAAGCAGCCCCTGGTAGGACACCTGACCCACCAGCCAGTTGTTAATATGTCTTCCAACCAGGCTCTGGCTGCCAGTTGTCAACTGCCGGGTAAAATGCGGCTGCCACTGGCAGGTCATGCTAC